GTTCAAGTTGCATATGCTAATTGTGTGCAAGTTTTTACATAAATATTTATACGGTGCATATGCGTGCGTTTACAATTGGAGTATTTTATTAACAGTTTTGTGTATAAAAATTCCAAATTTGTTTTATATAATATAAATATATATATGCGCATATATGTGTATACATAAGTGTTCAGTATAAAAAATGGTATGTGCATGGTGTAGCCAACATGTTCGTAGTGTCATGGATGGCACGAACAACCCAGCTTTAGTGATGTGGCAGTTGCTGTATTATAAGCGGGTTCGGTATTTTAAATTCGCATAAATACCTAATCAAAATATTTAGCTGCAGAAAAGCGGACAATATTTTTTCTTGCAGTAAAATTGCGTACGTGACGGTAAAATGCAATTTATACAGACATTTTTTTTTTTAGCATCTGTAGCGCTGCCGGTTGAATTAAGAAATTCGTTTCTCTTATGTATGCGGTTGCGGTGGTCGTGTGTATTCGTTACACGATCGATATGTAATGCGGTACCGGTACATTATCGGCGTTTATCGTTCGCACAGCAACTGCTGTCTAGCAGCTGCCTTTGATTTGATACGCCCATTCTAACACTGTTTTCTATTAAAGAAAAAATTAAAATCACTACTACTATAAAGTGTTATAAAAATCATTAAAATACCCGTTTTTATGCATTTTGTTGTTACCCTAAGTTATATTTGTATATCCTGCTTATACCCACTAATCAGTTTTTGAAAAAAATCAAAAGTTATAACAAATATACACACATATTTGCATTGCTTGTTTAAAGTGCTGTTCACTCATGTTTTATTAAAATGTTTCTTGCAGCTTTTTTGTGTAAGTGCTTAAGTGCGCGTTCTATCCTAAAGCGTTTCAGCTTATTTTAGTTGGCATATGAGCCAACATCGGTTGCGCGCGAGTATTAAACGTAGAAACGTCGTCGAAAGTACACAACTTAGACGCTCGGCATATATACAAAATACGAAACTTGGCGCTTGTCTCGTAGCAATTGTTGATTATCAATTGTCCGCCTTTGTAAAATCGCTTGAATTTAACATCCTTCACCATGTCGACGTCGCGCAGACGTGGCGAATTAAATCCGAAACTCCATATGGATAGACAGCCGACAGTTGCACGTATAACAGGTATAAATATTAGTTTCAGCGAAAAAATTTAAAATTTTTAGTAGGAGCCCGTGTGGTGTAGACTCATCACAAAGCTGACACTGATGTAATATGATTACTTCAATTACAGATCCTTCACTACCTGCCGGCAAACGTCGTGAGATCGATAACGTTATGAAAAAAGCACGCGCTAACACCAATGACTACTGGGATAAGAAATTGATTGAGGTGGAGGAAAAAGATCCAAACCGCTGGCGTCATACAGGGTACAAGAAAATGTATATACAAGGGGACAGCAGTTCCGGTGAAAGTGAACGTGAAGGTGGTTTTCGTTATAATTCCGCAGCAGGCGGTCCTGCTGGTGGACCCGTTGGTGGCCCGCCACCAAATACCGGTCGATATGGTCGTTCTCGTTCACCACGTTCGCATAGTCGCTCGCGTTTACGTAAATCGCCACCTATGTCGCCGCATATGCGTCGTCGTTCGCCACCCATGGATATGGTTGGACGTCGTATGTCTCCACACATGGACGGTATGCGTGGTCGTCCGCGTTCGCCACCACCACGTGGTGGTGTACCGCCGCGTTCGCCTTCTGATATGGGTCGTGGTCGTATGCCTTTGCTGGGCGGTGCTGGTGGTGGTAATAATCGTCCGCGTTCACCACCTGAACCGCCAATGCGTCGTAAGCCGTCGCGTTCGCCACTAGGTAGACGCCGCTCACCACCTAACATAAGCCGGCGGCGCTCGCCGCCACCTGGTGGACCCAATAAAAGAGGACAAATTTTGCCGCGTTCTAAGCGTCCACCATCGCCTCCGCCGAGGGTAAGTTTTTTGATTATTGAGAAATATATATTTGATCTGCAGCATACCAATTAAATATTTTGTATATTTTATTATAGAATTCGTGTCGCTCGCGTTCGAATAGTTCGGTTAGCAGCTGCTCGGATGATTCTTGTTCGGTTTGCTCACCCAAACATCACAATAGATCACGGTACGCAATCGACAAATCTTTGTTTACTCATTTCCTATAATTATACTTTCTTTCTTGTTTTGCAGTTCTCAATCTATACCGCGTGCGCGTATACCAGGTGGTCCGCGTTCTCCGCCGCCGAAAGCGTCGTCGCGCTCGATGCAATATCGTGGTGCCCAACCACCACCGAACGGCCATACTTCGTCACGTATGCATGCGCGTCCGTCAACACCACCACCGCAACCCAACGCACGTTCCGTTGATAAGTATCGCGATGACAAGGTTCGTCAGTATAGTCATGACCGCAGCATGGACCGCGTACCAACAGATGGTCGGCTCAAGCTTGTACGTTCGGGTCGGCATTCACCGAATGAGGATCTGCGCGTGAAAAATCGTCCGCCAGAACCACCAGAGCCCGCTACAACTTCTTCAGCAACAGTTGCTGTCTCCAAGAAGAAGAAAAAGGACAGAGAAGTAAGTCTTATTATTATTGTTTATATAAAATTAGTTACTTAAAAAAAAAACGTGTGCACTCCACAGATACGTACACGCATTAAAATTGAAGGTGAAAAACGTAAGAAGCACTCATCGTCTGAGTCCGAAGATTCTGGTGGTTCCGATAGTGATAGCTCATTGCCGACGTTTATTGCCGCCACCGGTTTGACACTCTCCGAACGCTTTGGCAAAATGGCACAATGGAGTATTGATCGTAGCAATATGGAAAATATGCGCATAACCAAAGACTCTACCGGTGGAGCTTTGAAAGTTATGATCGAAGAGGGACTCGAGTCGCCACCGCGTCGTTACTCGTATTCCCCAGCTCCGGCTGGGCATTTTCCGGAAGAACTTGCGACCACAGCACCGTCGGGTATGCTGTCGTGGGATGATGTACGCGTACGTTACGAATACTACAAAAGTCGTGGATATCTGCGCGATTTAGATTTGAAGGTAAGAACATTAATTTAAAAAAAAAAAAAAAAAAACAATTTTATAATAAAATATATTAATTGTCGCAGGACTACATAAAATGGGAGGAATGGTGGTATAAATATCAAGAATGGTTGAAACAAGAACGCTACTATGAGTATTGGGAACGTCAACAAATGGCGCGTCGTCGACGTAAGAAGCTACCCATTACGCAGCGTCTTAATTAGGTACTGACCTTTTCTTGTATTAATTCGTTTCATCACAGATTAGGAAGTTGTTTTAGAACTTGTAACGTGCACACGATTGCGCAAAATGAAAACGAAAAAAGCATCAACATATGCCACCAACGGTTGTCAGTTTTTTGCTGCAGTGTTGCTTTTCATTGTGGTGTCAACTGCGTTTAAAATTTGCTCCCATTCTTACATTTGTTCTACATTTAAAATGTATAAAAAATTTTATTGATAAAATATATACGTAAGTTATTTATAGAAATTATATACTTGTATACATACTCGTATGAAGCAAGCAACTAACGGTTTTAACCTCAAGTTTTGCCGAAATTGCGACTACCGTGCAGATGATTATGTATTAGTACTTTATATTATAAACAGTGTAATATTAATTTAAATAAATCATTGGATAAAAACTAAACGAAAATGTGTATATACATATGTAGGAAAATTTTACAAATGGAAGAAGGCACGATTCCAGTCCATTCCGTTTGTGAGTTTTATATAATATTCATTACTTCGAAAAAATTTGGATTAGCGTTGCCAACTATCGACAAATTGTAAGTAAAGCTCATGATCGATTTTTTTTTAGCCTTAAATTTTTTAAATATGGAGTTGCCATATTTCGAAAATAAAATTAATCTAAATGTTATAAGATGTATGTTAAACTTAAGCCGTTGAATGAAATCTAGAAGCTGCTGAAGAATTTCTAAATATAAAAATTTTCTCGAAAATAGTTGCCACCTATCAAAGAAATTGTAAAAAGCAGAATATAATATTTAATTTTTGTTTTAAGCAAGACGCTCAAAAAAAGCTTTCGCAAAATAATCAAAACGTCTTAAATTTTAAAATTTTTGAGAACAGAGTTACCATATTTCAAACAAATAAATTCTAAAACGTTTAAAATGCTTGTTAAATTTAAGTCGTATAATAAAATCTGGGAATTGCTTAAGAATTTCAAAATACAAATAATTTCTAGAAAAGTGTTGCCACCTATCAAAAATTTCAAATTGATAACTTTACGAAATGTGTGTTAAGCTTTAGGCGTTTTGGATAGTATGCCTGAAGTAATTGTGGTAGACGCCATCTCAGATATTTAAGGCGCAGAGTTATCACAAAACGGAGTAGATAAAAAATGAAACGTAAATCATTCAAAAACGCCTTCTGAAAAGCGTACTGGAATTCTTTAGTTTACCTGCACATCATATACTATAGATTCTTACTAATTTATTATACCAGTTTGTTGCATTTATGACTGTGTTTATGAATTTTGCCACTCTCCAAGGTTAGGTGAGGAGGAAAAGATAGTAAATTTTTATACCAGTTGATTACATTCATGACAGTTTCTTCTTAACTTCGCCATTCTTCATATGCTGGTGACACGTAGACATCGTTTAATTTTATACCAGTTTGTTGCATTTATACCAGTGTTATTTAATTTTACCACTCTCCAAGGTTTGGAGTAGAGCAATGAGGTTTACTGTTTTTATACCAGTTGTTTGTTAAATTTTTCACCATTTATTACACCAGTTTATTGCATTTATACCAGTCGTTTGCTCGATTTGTCACTCTATAAGTCGTATGTAAAGCTAGTGTAGCTTCAATATCATTATAACTGTTTATTTAATTTATACCAGTTTATAAAATGCGCCATTTTCCATATTCTGACGGAGGAGACAAAGTTAATTTTATGATGCCAGTTTGCTGCACTTATACCAGTTATTTGTTTAATATTTTCGAATGCAATAAACCCGAAAAAATTCAAAAATTTGTAAAGTTAAACCATATAGCAACCTTCGGCTTTTCAATTGTACGAAAAGAAGCCACATATTACATTTTTCCAATTACTCTCAATACTGCAACATCTCAGAATGGCTGAAAAGTCTGAAAAGTGAGTTTTCGGAATTTTATTTATTTTTAATATACACAAATATATAAAATAGTTATATACTCGCTGTAGAAATGATTACGATCCGTACGAACACCGCGAAGTACCACATCCGATTAGGTATAATGAAATTTCAATAAAAATAATGTAAATGTATGTATGTTTGTATGTAAATTTTGCAGCGATTTTGGCGCTTTTGTGAACATCTTCAAAGCCGTACTGGGCACCGGCATACTGGCGGCGCCCATGGCCATACGAAATGCCGGTTATTTGCCCGCTATTATATGTACCAACATAATTGGCATCTTTGTAGTACACTCGAAGTTCATTCTGGTAATACAAAAGACACTGCTGACACTAGGCTTGGTCTGTTGTTTTTTATGCCCTGAACAGAGTATATTTTTTTGCCATGAAGTTTGCAACAGCCAGAAGAAGCCTCGAAAATCCTGTATATATATTAATGATCAGCGTGACGTGCTAAGTCGATTAAGCCATCTAAGTCGTCTATCCGTCTGTCTGTCTGTATTTACGCGAATTATACCAGTTCCCGCTTTGAAATTTCGCACATGTCTTTCCAAGCTAAAAAGCTGTTCATTTGTCGGAATAGCCGATATCGGAGAACTATAGCATATATGTATGTAGCTGTCATACAAACTGACCGAGAAAAATCAAGTTATTGTATGGAAAACCATTTTTTTTGAAGTGATATCTTCACGGAATTCGGTCTTCCATTTTCCGAATATACCGGTCAGATCGTACCACCATAGCATATAGCTGCCATACAAATTGATTGATGAAAATCAAGCGCTTGCATGGAATACCTTTTTCTTTGACGAGATATCTTTCGGAAATTTAGCATGTATTATTGTTCAAGGCAACGCTACAAACTCCGAGCAAATTGTTTAGACCGTACCACTATAGTATATAGCCATACAAACTATTCGATCTTTTAAAACGAATTATTGGACCTTTTTTTAGTTGTGAAGCGTATTATAGTTGCTGTGTGACCGCACTTAACATTTTTGACCATTTTATTTTAACAGTTAGCTGGCATGTATGCGTTGGCCAAGCGCAAGCAAGTGCCGCTCTTAACCTACAGCCAAGCGATGCTGATCGGCGTGACGGAGGGTCCACCGGCGCTGCGTTGGCTGCAACATTTAATCAGGTTAGGCTTTGATTACGCTGTAATTTGTGTCCTGTAATTAATTTGTCGTTTAATTAACGTTTAATTAATCGGCAGCGGTATTGTGAATGTAATGCTATTCGCCAATCACTTTGGCACTTGTTGTGTCTATGTGGTGTTCATAGCGAATTGCTTGAAGGATTTTGGCGATTACTATTGGGAGGAGCATGACAATCGCATTTATATGGCAATGGAAATTGTGCCGTTATGCCTGATATTTCTCATACCCAACTTGAGAGCGCTGACGCCATTTGTGATAATCGCGAATATATCTTTAATATTTGGTAGGTATATCAGTTATGTTATATCTTTCTAACTATTGTATATGCACTCAAGTTCAAAAGTGACTTGGATGGGTCTATTTAAACTGCGCGCGCAAACTGATAACTAATCCAGTTTGGATCGAATTCAATATTTAGTTATGAAATATAATAATAATTTTTCTTTCCGCAGGCTTTGGCATTTTATTCTACTATATATTCACGGATATGCGCCCGTTCTCCGAGCTGGCTATGGTGCAGGACATATATTTGTTTCCCTTCTTCTTTGGTGCCACCATGTTCGCATTTGACTCACCCGGCTTGGTTGTTTCAACGAATTTTTGCAATTTTTTAGCTTAGAATTTCTGTATTTCTTTTGCAGATCGTCTCCGTGGAGGCGAATATGAAAAATCCTTTACATTTTCGGCGCATCTGTGGCGTTTTTGTGCTAGCCATGCTGCTCGTTATTGGTTTTCAAATCGTTTTCGGCTTCTTTGGCTACTGGAGTTATGCTGAGAGTATTGCCTCGACTATTCTGCAAAATATACCCTATAATGCGGTGTAAGCTCTTTGCATTTATTTAACAAATTTATACAATTACTAAGTACCTGCTTTTTATTTAGACCCGCTGTAGCGGCTCGCGTAATTTTTGCATTTTCTATCTTCATCTCGCATCCGTTGCAGGGTTACGTGCCCGTCGATGTGTTGTGGAACAATTGGTTGAAAGCGAAAGTGACGGAAGAGCATCAATTCGTGCTGGAGATGCTTTTTCGCGTTACTATCGCCATTTCCTCGGGTCTATAATTAGTTATAAATAATTATTTGTATGCCTCACTGTCGTTGGTCTCATTCTAGTGCTCATCGCCATCTCTTGTCCGTCCTTGACTATCATACTCTCCTTAGTTGGCGCTTTGTGCATGTCATTTCTGGGCTTAATATTGCCGGCTATTCTGGATATTTGCGTTAAGTACGACATTGGCTATGGTCCAATAAAGATTTATCTGCTGTCGAGTTTATTGCTGGTAATTCTTGGCTTGGTCGGCGCTATTATTGGTACATATGTGTCGATACAGGAGTGGATCTTTACGTATACACGTGAAAATCACATGATGAAGACTATATATTATGGTGTTTTTAATGAAAAATATAGCGATTTTATTTAAAATGTGAAATTTATTATGTTGTGCATTGAACTTTTAATTTGTGTAGTTTATTTTGAACGGTTAGATAGCGTTGGAAATATCGACTACAAGTGTAGTACCCTATAATATCAGAGTATAACTCTTCGGTAATAACATACTCGAGGTATTTGGTATAAATATTGCTTCCGAATCGCGCACTAATATCTGATGCGCAGATGAAGCAGCTTGAGTCTTAATTATTTATACAAGGCCTGTAAACATCTGATAAGCGTATCGAATTAAGATCTGAGTTTGCATCCCAGTAAGCTCTCAGTTTAAGCTCCTAGCTATCTATACTTAATTCCGATACCAACGAAATTTTCTGTCTGTAAAGAGCCCATGCATACTGACCATTTTTTTGCATATCCCCAAAAGGTCAAAGTCTTTATGGCTCAACACCGTCGAAGCAGATCAATTTTTAGAGCTACTGGTAGACGGTACGGTCTGTTTTCCCACCAAATTTGTTACCATTTTTTTAAAAATTCAGTTATTTGCAGTCACACAATTCAAGCCTGTCAAACGCCTTGCTGTAAATTATTATAAATATTTTATTTCAATTTAATGGCCGAGTCGTAAGTTCTTGTTGTCAGCGTTTCTTTTAAAACTCATTTTGTTTCTTTAGAAAGGATGTCTACGATCCATATGAGCACCGTGAAGTTGATCATCCGATTTCGTGAGTTCTTGAAGAGATTCCCTCTTTTGGTACAACACTCACATTTCAATTTCTCGTAGAAATATTGGTGCGCTGACGAATATCATCAAAGCAATAATTGGCACCGGCATTTTGGTGTCTCCAATGGCTTTTCGCAATGCCGGCTGGTTAAATGCGCTGATTAGTACGACTATTATTGGTGTTATTGTTTTGTATTCGAAGCAAATGTTGGTAAGCAACTGGAATTGCAGAAATCTTTGAAGTGTCGTTAGTTTTTGCAATTTCCAGATGTATGGCATGTACGAAATAGCAAAGCGACGTCGTGTACCACTCTATACATATGCTGAGGGTGTTGTAGAAGCGATAATCGAAGGCCCACCTTGCTTGCGTGGACTCCAGGGAACGTTGCGGTTGGTATATTTTCAGAAGTGTTCAGTTAGAGTTGAGATATGTAGCTTTTAATATGGTGTTGTTTACGGAAGAGAGATCAAAGTTCGGTTGAAGAGATTACCCAAGCTTACTCACTTTATGTGGAGTTACAAAGAATAATAGAATCAACTGGATGGGCGCGTTAAATAAAACTTTCGCTCAGATTTATAAGAAGTGACCGACCGCCGTTGAAATTAACGCTTTATGGAACATGAACTCGGTATTGCAAGTATCGTGTGTATATTCCAGAGATATCTGTTTGGGCTCGTAGCTACTTATGTATGCTTAGGTGGTGGTCCTTTACAGGGTTCGTCCCTGTCGGCTTCGGAATTGTAAAACAGACCATCCACAGATTGTCTGAATCGGGTTCAGCTACACACTTTGTTATTTAAATGCACGCTTCAGTTTAATCCTACATTTTTTCATTTCTACTTGCAGCTGCATGGTGAACTCTTTACTCTTCATCTATCACTTCGGTTCTTGCTGTGTTTATGTGGTTTTCATAGCAAATTGTCTTAAGGACATTGGCGACCATTATTGGGCCGTCTGGGATAGCCGTTTATACATGTGTTGTGAGATTTTACCTCTATGCCTTATCTACTGTGTGCCGAACTTGAAATCATTGGTTCCCTTTGCGATGGCAGCCAACTTTTCGCTTATATTTGGTAAGTTAAGTTAATTTAGATTTAAAAATAATCGTTCGGAAATCACGGAAGTTATGTTGAGCTCTGAATGCCTAAGCAACTCTGTTTAACTGGTTTCTCTTTTTATTTCAGGTTTCGGCATAATTTTCTACTATATGTTCAGTAATCTGCAACCATTTGATGATTTGAAAGCTTTCCAAGACTTTCGCCTATATCCGTTATTTATTGGTGCCACATTATTTGCATTTGAGGCGCCTGGCTTGGTAACTATAAAAATGTTTCTTACTTAACTTAACTTAGTATCGGAATTTCTCTAGGTCGTATCGATTGAGGCCAATATGAAAAGGCCACAGTTCTATGTCGGCATAAGTGGTGTGCTGAGTCAAGGCATCTACTTCGTTATACTGCTGCAGCTAGTCTTCGGTTTGTTCGGCTATTGGCGCTATGGTGATGATATCAAGTCGGCAATATTGCAGAGTCTGCCTTATGATGAGATGTAATTTGCATTTGAATTACAATATTTGAAATTGACTTAAGAACATAACCCTACTTTTATTCTTTTTAGACTCGGTAACGCTGCGCGCGTCATTTTCGCCTTTTCCATGTATATCTCACATCCGCTGCAAGGCTATGTGCCCATCGATGTCATGTGGAATAATTGGCTGAAGGCGAAGGTGCCCGAGAGTAAGGCGTTCGTATTGGAATTGGTCTTTCGTGTTTGCTTGGCGATTTCGTCGGGTAAATATAAACGAAATAAACAGCTATTGACTCATATTTTGACAAATATGTACAATAATTATTGTTATCGTGATCTCATCCCTTTCTCTGCTTATAGTTGGTTTTGCCGTCGCCTGGCCGAACCTGACCTTAATTCTTTCCTTTGTCGGCGCATTTTGCCTCTCCTTTCTGGGTCTTATATTTCCAGCCATCATAGATATTTCGATTAGATACGAAAAGGGTTATGGACCTATGAAAATACACCTATTACTAAGTTTTGTTGTGATATTGTTTGGCATTGTTGGTGGTGTTGCCGGTTCTTATGTGCCAATCGAACAAATGGTGAAACTATATGTCAGCGGTACAAATTTGACCGGTTAGAAATATATATTTGCGTAGAAGATAAAAAATTTTATTTTATTTACTCATTTGCTCTCATGGTGGTAGGACTGGTAGCTGTCTCTGGTGAGTAAAGCTTTTTTTGGTTACTTATATCCAAAAGCTACAGGCGCGAATCACGTATAAAACTTTCCACATTGTTAAGTTAGTAATGGTAAGCTTTTACGCAACTTCTGGCAAAAGCTGTTTTCAGCGTTGACAAATACTTCGCAGCTCACACCTTTAATGAGTTTGCACGCCTATTTATGTACTTCGTTAAATCATTTGAAGCTTTTAAAAGCATTGGCGAATAAATTTTCTTGAGAGCTTTGTAAGTATAATGAAAGCTTTAATCTACTGAAGTCAAATACCTAAATGTTCATGTTCTCAAAAGTATGCTTACTTACATCATTTGAAGCTTTTAATAGCTTTTATGTATGACAGTTTTTGAGAGCGTTGCATAAATTCTACGTATCTATTTCATATGGTATTCTTCTCACTTTAGAAGTAATGCTGAGAAACGAAGTTTATATTACAAAAATAACAGCAAATTAAAAATTTTAAAACTTGTTGAAAAAAAAATTTGAGTCTTTTCCAGTTACATAATACCCAACTGCCATGAAACGGTTTTATAACAACTCTTTGCGGCAGTTGGGGAGCGTTTGTTCGGGATCCAGATTGTTATAGTGGAACTTGAGATCTTCTGGGAGCATAAGTCCTAGAAAATCCTTTCTCAGTCTATCTGGTTTCATTGTTTGAAGCATCGAACCGATGCAGGCAGCATCAAAGATTTAATGGACTTAACTGATAAACTAATTTGAGCGTTGGAGGCCAGTACCGTCGACTGCCTTTAGTAGTCTTCAGGTAGTCTAGTGCAGAGATAAATTCCCGTTGACCACCAAAAACAATCATCAGTAGATCATTGTAGATCCAAATCGTTATCTTTTATTGTTGATGCGTTACATGACAGCTTTTTCATGGTTATGTGCCCATATAAGGTGGTCTAAACCACCCCCAATACTATATTTTTGGTAGCGAAACTTTTAAAAATGGAATCGTGTGTCTCAAGATCAGCGTCAGAGAGTTACTCTTTCTCTCTAACGTAACCGAAATGCATGAATTTGTTTTTGTCTATTTCTAGATCGGTATCCATGGTGTCACATATATTGCTACGGTTGTCCTTGCTGGAATTAAAGCAGCGCGGAAGCGCTTGAGCCAATCAAATCAAAGCGGAAGTGCCTTTTAATTTGCAACGCGCCAACCATACCAGAGTGCTCCGCTATATAGATACTAATATGAAGGCTGCCGCTGGCTAACAACCTCTCGAAAATGTTTTTTTTCGTGAACTTTAACAAGTTTTGTATTTCTTCTTGCTTTACTTTTCGCATTGCGACTTTGGTGCTTTGTTATTTTGATACTTTCTTTTCATTTTTACTTTTACTTTTATTTTTATGTGTTAATTTGTGTTTGTTAAATCGTTGTGAAGGGGAAACCATTGATGTTTGACTGATTACTGACGCGAGCACTCATGACAAACCTTGCGAGGAAAGCTAAATTGCAAATGAGACGTACTCTTTATTATTATATTTCAATTGATATTTCATAATAGGTATATTCTGCCTAGGTAATCAAGCTATCCAAACCGAACTGCTAGTATGCTGATAATCACTTAAGCACGGAATCTGTTTTTTATAAAAGAGATTTTCGTCGAAATTTTTTGGTTTCGAATCATTACGAAACCACAGAAATTGAAGACTCTCAGTGGAGTCTTAAAGTAAATGTTTACATGGATGAAAATCATAGCAGTGTTACAACTCCTTTTGCACCGAACTCTTTAGTCCAAAAATTTCCTACAGGGTACGCATTTTCGCCAAAAAGTTTCAATGCTAATTGAAAGAAATTTTCGGCAATCAACAAAAATACCAACATACTCCGAGTGGGAGTGTGAGTAATTAATTGATGAAGCAAACTTTTGAAGTTTTCGAATAGCTACAATACCGACATAGTTGTGAGATTGGAGAAGGGGACATTTGTGTTTGATACACAATCTTTGTTGTGCTTCAAAAAATAAATAAGAAAACCTATTACAACAATTAGCGAATGCGTCAAAGGTCTATTTACCGACTATTTACGATACGGCTTTGGTCAATTATTGATTGTGTCGCAGGTTAAATATTAGGAGTTGAAGCTTGACGGATCTAATGGAGTAAACAAAAATATGTACGAGATGAAAGTATTGTAGACTGAATCCTTGACTTTAAATTCATAAACCTATATCGCGTCACGAGTAATAATGCGTTTGTTGAAAATAGTATAGTTCTCAGCTACTCGATGCTGTTTTTGCAAAAGCTTCAGCTCTCTTGATACGAGTCAAGTATGGACATGCTTTATACCCAAAACATTAGCCAAAATATGTTGAGTCGATCCTTAAAATATGCTGAGATTCTCTGCTATTGCTCTGATGCCAACATGTAAATTTTTGAGTGCTGTTGCTTTAACTTTTTCTAGTATTCTATAGTCGTCATTAACAGAGTTGGATGGACGTCTTGCATGAGTCAAGTTTTCGATGACTTCACGACCTTCACTGATTGCTTTGTGTCACTCAAATACTTGTGTTCATGATAAAGTAGACTATGCTAAATACTTCTGCAATATTTTCAACGATTCCATAGCCGCGAATCCACTGGAAACACAAATATTGACTTAAGGAGATCAAACTTCATACGAACATAAAAAAAGGTTGTACTAATCTAGGGAAAAAAATGTATCGACTTGCGCGCAGTTTAAATGGACCAGTTTAAGTCATATTTGATATGAGAAGTATTCAAGAGGAGCTTTTATTCCTACTTATTTTGAAGTAAAGAAGAAGCTAGGGTTCTAGGTATTCAATGGAAGGTAGCTGTTTATAAAATTATTTAAAATCTGACATTAAATTGAAAAGCTTGATTAGCGTGAGCTCCTTCGCTCCACTCGAATCCTGCATCAAATCGGATTTTAATATAGAAATTTATTTGTATTGACTGCATTCCATCTTAGCAAGAGAAGCACTTAAGTGCGCTAAATACTATCAAACAGCAGCTATAACTCTATTAGTGGGGTAGACAATAAACAGCAAGTCTCTAAGAATGTGCAAACCCTTGAACGCCTTTCTTCAGCAGCGCTTTAATGCAGCCGACAACAAAACTAATGCACAGCAATAACAGTAATTTGACAGACAAGCAACTGAAAGGTGAAACGCAGTGAGCGACAAACAGATAATAACGCCGACAAACAAAGAGCTGCTGCTTGCATAACTTTCATGCATTATGTAAGAGCATCAGACATATAATAAAGGCAATGTCACGACAGACAGACAGACAGTCAGTCAGTCAGCGCATTGTAGTGGAATGCGAATGTAAGCGACTATGCAAAAATGGCATACAACACGAACAGCTGTATACATATACGTGTATGAGCATATATATGTGTGCGTGTGTGTAGTGAAAAGGCGCGAGGTGACAGCGGCATCTGAGCGGGTAACCAAGCAATTATTATAAGGAAATGAGCTTGTGCTCATGCAAATGTGCTGCATAGCTGTATAACGGCACATTTATATATATGCGCATATATTAATGGAAATAATGCAAGCATACAAGCTAACCTGTTCGACGCGGCGTATGAGCAATGTAAGGTTACTCATACGTGCTGTCGCTCCAGCAGCAGCGTCGGCAGAGTTGTAAGTAGTGCGCTAATTTCATAAGAAAGCTGCATATTTACACACTAAAAATTTAATATATATATATGTATGTCTATATGACATATAATAACAACAACATTTTCACTCACAACACTGCGTATACGCCTGCATGTATGCTTATAAGAACTGCCTTGAAGAACTTGTCGAAGCTGTCGTCAGCGCTGTTGTTATGTGCTTGCAGAGCAAAAAGATGCTGACAGCGGCAAAAATAACTACAATATTGTTATTGTATATTTCTGGTTCTCATGGAAAATTGCATTGTGTGTGGTTTTGCACGAACGATAAAAAGTTGGCAGCTAAAGACTTTGTGGTTGGTGTAGGTGCTGAGCTTATAAACACATTTCATAGATTCTTAAGTATTTGTGTGTTTATAGGTATATATATATATATAGCGTGCATGTAGTGGTGTTTATGTTGTCTTTATTAAATAGAATTAAAGAAAACATTGAGTTGAATTTCAGAAAAAAGCTCTCGTCTGTAAGTAGGTTGTTTGCATTGTTTGGAGGATAATTATAAGGATGGCACAATATGCACTTACATATATTCCGCTAATCAAGCATACTTTTGACGATCGCTTTACCACATAAAAGTTCACATATGTTATATATTTTATCAGCTTTCCGTTGCTATTTTCGGATAGCGAGGTTGATATTGATCGGTATCCAAAGCTTTATAATTGTTTAGCCGCGTTACTAGCTTTACATTACCGCTCATTCGGCACATATATTCTCTTATCTATTCCTAAATGTTCGAGCTTCTCTCTGTTTATCTCGGATATTGAGTAAGTGTATACCGAACATCATTAAAAACTTAACCAACGTACGATAAAAATATTTTGTTAGACTCTTTTTCTTCTGGCTTAAATTTGGAACATTCTTCTATTTTTACAGTTTTATTAACGCTACAATTTGATAAAATTTATTTTTCAACAAATGCTTTTCGTTCTTTGGCATAATATTTGACTACTGATTCTCTCCAGCAGCTTCTGAAACTCATTTTCGTATTTCTGATTCTCTCTCTCACTCTCTATCTCTATTTCTCTCTCACTCTCTCTCTTAAACTCTTTCCTTCAACTCGATTGGTAGCTTAACACTTTATGAAAATTTATGCAGCTCTGCGTTATTTTTCGTATCGTTTGTTCTTTCAGGCTCACTGCGAATTTATTACTCATTTTGGAACAGGTGTTTAGTATCAAAATTTGTTATTGGGCAGCAAAGTTGGCTAGAAAATCTCTTGCAGTTCTCTTATACTTGAGCCAGTTCGAAAGTGACATACCAACTCGTAAGGAAGACTTAAA